TGTTAAATCTTGGTTCTATAACTATAGAGATGTGAATTCTAGGAAAGTATACTTGGGAGATGATCATACATACAATGTGGATGAGTAGGTGATATTGCTATCAAGATGCATGATTGCATTATTAGACCCCTTAGAGGTGTTAGGTATGTCCTGGGCCTGGCAAGGAATATTATTTCCTTAGGCACTCTAAAAGATGAAGGTTACGAGTTCATATCTCATGTTGGTACTTTAAAGATTTGTAACGGGTCTCTAGTGGTTATGAAAGGTCCCAAGAGGAATGGGCTATATGTCCTTCAAGGTGAAGCCTTAGGCAGCAAAGAGTGGCATTATCTTTATTCTGAGATCTTTAGCGCAAGAGGATGGGGCACATTGGGAACAAGGGGTTTAAATATCTTAGTAACCAGAATTTACTTGGTAAGGATCATGCTACGCCTTTAAGTTTTTGCTAGACACGTGTTCTAGGAAAGTCACATAGGTTAGCTTTGGAATAGGTGAACACAGCACTAAGAGACCGTTGGACTACATTCATGTAGATTTGTAGGGTCCAAAAAAATCCCACACATGGAGGGAACATATTTTTTTCTATCCATTGTTGTGATTGCTGAGGAAAGTTTGAGTGTATTTCTTTAAATCCAAATCTGAAACTTTTAGTAAGTTTAAGTCTTAGCTTGCCTTAGTTGAAAATTAAATGGGAAAATGTATGAAAATTCTTAGGATAGACAATAGTTTAGAGTTTTGCAAATTTGAATTTGATAGTTTCTGCAAGGGAAAGGGCATAATGAGGCAGAGGACCGTGAGACATACCTCCAACAAAATGGGGGTGGTGGAGAGGATGAATCAGACTTTAATGGATAAAGTTAAATGTATAATTTATTAGTTCAGGATTGTCTAAAGGTTTCTAGGGTGAAGCTGTGCATACTGCTACCTATTTGATAAATAGGCCACCTTCTAGTTCTGTTAACTTCAAGACTTCCCAAGAGTTGTGGTCTGGAAAAATCTCAGATTTATCACACATTATAGTGTTTGGTTGTGCGGCTTATGTTGATTAGGTTGAGGGCAAATTGGACCCTAGGGATACTAAGCGTGTCATGTTAGGTTATCAAGGAGTGAAAGGATATAGACTGTAGGTTTTAGGTGTGAAGGGCATTAAGATTATTAACAATAGAGATGTGAAGTTCAATGAACTTGATATGCCTTACCTTAAAAACATAGATAGTCAGAACAAACAGACTAATGAAGGGAAATCTTCTACTGGAAAAAAGATGGAGTTTGAGGTGAAAAGATTAGATGATAATCCAGAGGAGAGTGATATCCAACCTCAAGAAGAATCTGATCAAGAAACCGAGATAGAACAACCAGAACTTGAAATTCTTGAAACTTTTGTCCTTAATAATCAAGAAACATCAGCAGGTACTAATTTGGATGATTACCAATTAGTGAGGGATAGTGAAAGAAGACAAGTGAAGTCCAATATAAAATACATCTCTTCAAATTTGATGGAATTTACCCCAATTTCACGTGAAGCCTTGAAATCAGTTGAACCGCTTCATTTGAGGAAGCATTTACCTATAAAAATTCTGAAAATTGGAAAAATGCTATGAGAGAGGAGATCCAATCTTTAAACAAAAATGAGACTTGGAAGTTGGTTGAAAAACCAAAGAATCAAAAGGTTGTCCATTGTAAACAAATCTACAAGTTGAAAGAAGGAGTGAGACCTAATGACCCTTTGTCATATAAAGCTAGGTTGGTTGCAAAAGGATTTAGTCAGAGAGAGAGGATATACTATAATGAGGTGTTCTCACAGGTCATTAAGTGCAAAACTATCAGAATAGTCTTAGCCTTAGTTGTCTAGTATGATTGAGAGTTGGAACAACTAGATGTTAAGATGACTTTTCTTCATGAGGAGTTGGACGAATTGATTTACATGTCTCAATCTCAAGGGTTCGAAGTGAGAGAAAAATCGAAACTTGTATGTTTGCTTAGGAAGTCCTTGTATGGTCTTACGCAAAGCCCTAGACAATTGTATAAAAGATTTGATGCTTGTGTGCTTGAAATTGGTTTTAAGAGGAGTGAATTTAATGCATGTCCGTATTTTAATAACTCTAAAGTAGGTTGTGAAGTTTATTTATTGTTATATGTGGATGACATGTTGCTTGCTAGCTCTAGTAAAGCTGAAATCATAAAGATGAAAAACCTTTTGAAATCGAAATTTGACATGAAAGACTTAGGAGAGACAAGAAAAATTATTGGCATGGTTATTAAAAGGAATATAGCTGATAATAGGATGACTATTAATCAAGAGTCTTATTTGGATAAAGTGATAACCAAATTTGGTATTAAATTTGCTAAGTCTGCACAGTGCCCTAAAACTGAAGAAGAATTGCAAGAAATGAGTAATATTCCATATGCTAATACCATTAGGTCTGTGATGTATTCTATGATTATCACGAGACCGGACATTGCATATGCAATTAGTTTCTTGAGTAGGTTTATGTCTAACTCAGGTAAGCTTCATTGGACTGCACTTAAATGGCTGTTAGGATACCTAGTTGGAACTTTAAAAATGGGGTTAGTGTTTAAAAAGAAAAATTATAAGTAAAAGCTAAAAAGTTATATAGATTCTGTCTTCACAGGAGATAAAGATCAGATAAAATCTAGCACTTCATATTTCTTCAATTTAGGTAATAATTGTATCACTTGAAAATTACAGTTGTAATATGTTACACTCTCCAACACTTAAGCAGAACATGTTGCATTAACTGAAAATGTAAAAGAATGCAAGCTGAAAGTCCTTCTATGTGAATTAAACTTCTTGAATGATGCTATGATTTTTACCGATAGTTAAAGTTCATTAGGGAGAAGTTAGTTTCTGATGATTTTATTTTGTTTAAAATTACAATTGATGATAACCCTGTAGATGTTAGAACAAAACTATTTACGGTTGGTAACTTTAACAAATGTTTATCAATATTGAATATTAAAAATTGTTAATTGTTGTGCAGGTATTGAGTTGAAGTGAGCGATGATGATGATGAAATAAGAGTAGACTAACGGATAATGCTTGTAATTGGGGAATATGGCGGTGTATTATATGTGATTCAAGGTGAAGATTCGTGAGGTGGATCACTTAAATTCACTTGGCACAGTAGTATTTGTCTTGAGCACTTTGAAAGAATTGTGCTAGTTGATGTTTATTATGAGCCATAGATTAGATCAAAATGTTGGATTTAATCTTGCGGTCAATTACCCTACAGTCACGTCTCTTTCATAGTACAATATTTGAATTTGAATTCAAATAGTTCTTTGGCTCTATAATTACAAGACTACACTTATTTCACTTGAACTTGACATAACAAAAGAGAAAAAACATATAGAGATAACCAAGTGGGAGATGTTCATATCTCCAACGAAATTTTTGGTGGCTTACGACAGATACTTTTCTCGGTATATTCATTGTCATTCTCGTGGACGACGGTGCATGTTCCAGTGTGGTACAAATCTGAGCTCAACGTCATATGACACTTCATTGGTGGTGTTGAAGAAGCTTTGGTTCGATTGATTCGATTTTATACTTTGAGAGTTTATGTTTCTGCATTGTAGTTGTAATAATCATTTGTTCACTACATTTTCCAGTGTGGTACAAATTTGAGTTCAACGTCATATGACACTTCTCGAGGGAACCAATCTTAAAAAATAAAATAAAATAACCTAACTTTTATCCTATTCATAATAAGATTTTACTCAATCAAAATATCAAATTGGCAATGGAGCTAAAAGTGAACACTACCAATCAATTGTTACATGCTACGCAATGAAATGTGCTCGAATAGGCCTCACAGATAGGGGTGGGCATGGGTTGGGTTGAGTCGGTTTTTGCTTCAGCCCAAACCCAAACCAACATGATCGGTTTGATCATAATTTAACCCAACCCAACCCAACCCAATCAAGTATCGATCTGTTTGGGTTGGGACAACTTGTCAACAAAGACTAAAATAGGCGGGTCGGGTTTGACGGATTTATAATTAACTCATGACTTATATAATATTTAGTCTCCATAGTTGCAATGAACCAAAAAATCTGAATTATTTTGGCACTTCATGCCCGGAAATGTTACATGGACAGATTAATATTAAATTATATGAAGTCGAGAAATGTTTTTGGCAATTAAAATGTTTTTGTGTTGAATGTGTATTTGTTTAAACTATTTTTCGTAAAATGCATTCTGTCCAAATCTAATATTATTATTCTAAGAGTTTCCAACCAACATCATAACACTTGTAAAGTTCATAAATATAGTCGGGTTAGGTTGGACGGGTTTATTCGATTTTTATGAGTTAACCCAAAACCTGACCCGACCCAACCCACCCAACCCGTATAAAAATAACAAAAAATCCAACCCAAACCGGTCGGTTTTGGCGAGGTCGATCGGGTTTTGCCCACCCCTACTTACATATATTTTGATCACAAAAAATCATTTTATGCAGTTCATTGTAATTAGTCAATAGTAAATTATGAAAAAATTATATTATCCAGTTCATTGTATCAAAAGTTTGCGGGTTGCCCTCTTCGATCCTCAAATGGGATGAATTATCGTAATTATAACATTTGCAACGAGGATTAAATTGTACAGAAACAGATGAAAGCTTAAAACCCTCAAAATGATTCAATTACACTTGAGCGTAAAAGAATTGACCAACAATTCATGGGCAGTCATGATGTTAAACAAAACCAAGTCAATTCTATCCTAGTGTGTTTCAAATGTCTAATCAATGTGTCCTTGCCTACTGAAGAATGCAAGACATAATTGGATAGTGCAATAAACAATATTTTCTTTCAAAATCCATCTAATCAAACTTACGAAACATGGTCCAAGGTCTCCGTGGCCAGAGAAATGGTTTATGAATAGTGTATGCCTGGAATTTCATATCTATCTTTATTTTACTCAGACTTGTGCTTAGAATATCTCCTTGCGTTCGAGTTTCCGATGCCACTAGTACACCGACCCAAAAACTTGAGAAACTCGTCGATTATAATTACCGGCAATGCAACAATTAGTACTAATCCCCACTCATTCAGGCTTAGGGGTACTATGCCGAATACTTGAGCAAGGAAAGGCACGTATAGGATCAAGAAGTGCAAGCCAAATGAGACTGACATAGCCAAAAGGAGCCATGGGTTGACCCAAGGAGGCATCGATAAGAGACTTCCATCTTCGGACAGAGCATTTAGGGAATTAAACATCTCTATAGCAACCAATACAGAGAGCGAGAGAGTCATGGCCTTGATTTTACCGGTTTGAAAGTAGTCGCATGGATTTGCATCGAATGTGAACAATTGTGCTCCAGCTGTGAAAGGAGAAACGGAGAAGTTTGTCCACGTGTGACATTGACCCCAGTTGGCAAGCTGGGAATAAGTGACAAGGCTGTGACCATCTCCACTTAGGTCAATGCCAATGAAGGAGGCATGAGTATACCAGATAACAAATATTCCAACAGTTGCTATACCAACATAAGATCCAATCACCTGCATATACGTTTAAAGATTAAGGGTGTGTTTGAGCCACATTATTTTGGAAGAATGTATTCTGGAATAGTAAATTGATGGAGAGTGTGTGGTTGAAAAAGAAGGAAAAATTATTGATGTGATGGAAAATATTATTTTATTGAAAAATGTGTGGTTGAAATGAGTAGAATAATGAGAATGAGAATTTTAATGTGTACCAAACATGGGCTAAATACATATCCAAAAGCAAATTTGGATAAGCTCAAAAATAACTTAAAACTTACTTTTTAAAGTAAATTTTTGTTTCTAAATATATTTTGATGTGGTGTTTTTCTTGTAATAAGTGAAAAAGTGACTTACTATGACAGCAATGAAGTGTTACTTAAAAATTAAGTATTTTATCCCAAACTTTGACCAACTAAAATAATTATTAATTTTAAATTTTATTTTTCTACTTATAACTAAACTTAACAGGAATTTCTTTAAGTTCAGACAAACATGCATAGCAGTTTCAATTGAAAGGAGAGGTGAAAAGAATCAAGCTTACCAGATACCGAAAGAGAATCCATGCACTGATCAATGAGTCATCGCTTCTTCGTGGCGGTTTCTTCATTATATCCTTGTCTGGTGGATTGAATCCAAGAGCTGTAGCAGGCGGTCCATCGGTAACCAGGTTAACCCACAGAAGCTGAACTGGGATCAGACCCTCTGGGATACCTAAAGCAGCTGTAAGAAATATTGAGGCAACCTCACCAATGTTGGAGGAAATCATGTATCTGCAACAAGAAGATAACTTTTGAATCTCATTTGTAAGTTTAACTCGCATAATCCCAAACCCATCATATGTAACATGCTGAAAACTTTGATAACATTCTTCCTTACTGGATAGATTACTGGCACAGTTAACTGTAATTTAATCCTATTAAGGCATCTTCTGGCTGCAGGTTTGAATGATGAGAAAAACTCGAGTAGAAATTAATATATTGCAAAAATTCAGCACCGTCTTTGTTCAGATTCTCTTTTACAAAACCATTTACTACTTCAGCCCGTAAAACCATGGACTTAAAAAGGAAATAAACATCTGGACAAGAGTGTACTGGACATAGCAAGGTCTGGATGTAAGGATTACGAGGGTAAAGGTTTATAGTAGTTTTGCATGCGATTAACAGCTTTCATTAAGCTATTTTTATTCTGTATGCAATATTTCATATGCTTCCTTCAATTGGCAATCAAGTTAAGATCCTTGATTGTGCACTAACATGCAACCAAACCTGTGGTCAGGGCAAAGCCACCATGCCTTGATAAAATGTAGCAACTCATACATAAGACAGCTATGAGGCTCAGGTCTAAAAACATACACATGCCCAGAATATGGATATATGACTGAGTCACTCACAATAATTTGAACTCACATGTGTCGTATCCTGGGGTTAGTTAGTTGAACTAGTTCTCCATTTAAGGCAGAAAACATGTTTTAAGATAATGTCTCAAGATTGGCCTAGGTATACAACAAATGCCAATTAAACAGGTCAGTTACTTTGGTTTCACCATTTGCAATCTCTTATTCCCCTTCAATCATTTAAATCCTAGTTCGGCTCCCTTGTAATTTCACTAGTGATGGAGCTGATCAGAGCTACAGTTAAATTAAATGCCACCAGCATGGACACTAATTATCAACCAAATGTTAACAAGGACATTACCCACCTTGATTCTGCAAGAACACCCAAAAAAGAATTGCAACTAGCGCGTCGTTTTCAATTTCTAAATGCAGGAGTTGAAGACAAAAAACATATGTAACCAGCACTCTGCCCGTTCAAATATCTTATTAGCATTTTTTTCCTGGACTTAGATATAACTATTTGTCAGCCTCCATAATCTCACATTCAGAGTACTGTAACATCTATTGAGAAATGGCAGATAATCAAACCTGCACATAACACCTAATCCTATAATTTGGTGAGAAGATAAAAATTAAAGGCAAAGGTATAAGATAACCTGATGAAGGCCTTCATGTTATTGTAAATGGATCTGCCTTCACCAACAGCAGCAACTATACTACTAAAATTATCATCTGCTAGAACCATGTCAGAAGCCTCCTTTGCAACCTGAAAGGAAAAAATGCAATCGAAATAAATTATTCCTTAGGCCACCATAGTGTTAATGGACAAATTCATGCAGTTCACTTGGAACAAGAAGTGCACATGCAACAGTCAGTGAGTGAACAAATCCATGCCAGTTCGATTGAAATAAGAAGATATGCAACATTGCTTCACCATAGCCCTCTAAACTCACATAACGATGAATGCTCCAAGATAGTATTGTACCCATAGAGGTAATGTCAAATACGAGACTAAGATGCAAAGGCACAATCCTACTGGTAATGTAAAACAACACTTATTGCATACTTTAATTAATTAAGTATTGTAAATCGTATTGCACTTACCTCAGTTCCAGAAATTCCCATTGCAATCCCAATATCAGCCAATTTCAAGGCAGGTGCATCATTCACTCCATCCCCAGTCATTGCTACCACTTCACCTGATTCCTTGAGCAACCTCACTATCTCTTGTTTATGCCTTGGTTCAGCCCGAGAGAAGAGAAGCCCTCCACCTTGTTTTAGATATGTTGCTTTCTCACTGCCAGGAAGCTCCATAAATTCCCTTCCTGTCAAGCTTCTTGAACTGATGTCCTCATAGCGCCCAAAGACACCTATTTCGCGACAAATAGCTTCAGCAGTATTTTTGTTATCCCCTGTAATTACCATAACACGAATGCCAGCTGTTCTGCAATCGTCGATTGCTTGAGGGACCTCTTTGCGAGGAGGATCCTTTGAATAATTAACATAAAAAACAAGCAATTTAGTCATTATCATGTTCCTAACAAGAACAAGAAATGGAATATAATAGTAGGAAGTCCAAATAAAAGAGGTACTTAAAGAACCAAGCTTGAAGACTCACTCTCAAACCAGCCAAGCCAACAAAAATTAGATTGCTCTCAATTGAAGAATAATTTGCAGGATTGAGTAAGAGCTCATGAGCTGGATGGTCTTCATCACCATTATATGTAGCAAATTCCTTCAGATCCTCCTTGTATGCAAAACCCAAAACTCGTAATGCACTAGTTGACATTTCACGGAGGCTTTCCAAAATAGTTTTCCTCGAATTCTGATCTAATTCTACAATAGAGCCGTCAAGCAATTGCAAGAAAGAGCTTCTTTCCAATAAATTCTCTACTGCACCCTGCCATAATGTATTACATAATTTGCTGAAATTTTTTCCGTAATAAAGAAGTTTGAAGATGCAGTAAATTCAGAATATGCACACAATCTAATAAAGATAATATTGACCAGTGTATTGAAGAAGTCAGATTGAAGCATCTCCAAATATCACTCAGTGAAATCCATAATTTAGTAGTCTTTTCCTTTGCAGAACTAATTACAGAAACAGTAGGTGGCTGTGTTATAGAAGAATAAAGGAAACATAGATTGCACCTTAACAAGCAGGGACCTTTTCCCTGAGCTGGAACAGGCAATGACTCCCATGGATTTTCTATCTCGATCAAACTCAAGGGTGGCAATCCGCTGTTCAATTCTATTCCACGTGTGGGAGCAATCTTAGATGCATCCAAATAAACAAGTGCGCATCAGTATATTAACTCGTACGATTTTTTGTATAATAAAATTCAATAAGGTACATCAACTTACTCATTACACCATCATAAACTAAGGAGGCACCTGAATGTAATCCACTTGGAATGCCCATTTTCTCAACCAGAACCTGAGCATTAAACAATCACGTCAAGAGTCTATTTTTCACTCAAATATTAGTTACAAACTCCTAGAAGCAAAAAGCATCCAAGGAATGTTTGTAGAGGCATCAAGCCTCCACCATCTGTGAGCAAATTATCCAAGAGTACAAAACATGTGAACGCAAAGGAAAATGACCATGCAAAAGACCTGAATTCTGCCCAGAAGCAACAATGGAACAAACCCTGTCATCCTTAATCCTTAGAGCCTAGAGTCTAATTTCATTCATCAGACATAAAAAAATTTCCAATTCGAGCAATATGCATGAAGCCTTATTGTCATGTTTATTTCCTTGCATGAACATAAAAAAGAATGGAAGTCTGCATGGTGAAGTTTTATTTGTAAAAATGCCGACTAAATCACGTGCAGAATGCAGAATAAACACGTTTAAACTCTCTGTACCTTCAATGCCGCCTCAGTGGGCATTCCATTGGCAACATGGTGATGTTCAGATTTTTCGACATCAGCATCATTGCACACGGCAGAAATCTTAGCAATCATTTGAAGATTGAGATCTAGATCACCCACAGGCCAATTTTGTATATTCCCGTCTAAAGGATTATAAGTGGTCCCTTCCACATTGAATGATCGAAGTGCATTTGCCTTGGAACCCATGGCAACTAGCTTAGCTACTGCCATCTGGTTGGTAGTCAAAGTACCAGTCTTATCTGAACAAATCACAGTCGTGCAACCAAGAGTTTCAACACTTGGCAACTTTCGAACGAGTGCATTTTTAGCAGCCATCTTCCGGGTTCCAAGGGCCAAGCAAGTTGTAATAACTGCAGGTAAGCCTTCAGGAATAGCAGCAACTGCCAATGCTACGGCAATCTCAAAGTAGTAAGTGCATTTCTCAAATGAGAACTTAAAATTCCTTGGCCAGCCATCAACAAACTCCCAAGAAAGGAAATATTTCACATTAATCAGCCAAACCAGAGCACAGATTACTCCGATTATAGCAGTTAAAGCCTCTCCAAACTCGTTTAGTTTCTTCTTCAACGGCGTATCTTCCTCACTTTGCGACGCCTCGTGAATTTGAGAATGCACCTTCCCAATTTCAGTATCCATCCCTATGTGCGTAACCAGACAAATACAGATTCCATTCACGACTGTTGTCCCAGCAAACACCATACACTTCTTTCCCTGAATATCAACATCCTCCGAGACAGCCCTAGTTGTCTTACTTACCGCCTCGCTCTCTCCAGTCAAGGACCCCTGTTCAAGTCGAAGAGTCGAGCTGATCAAACTCAAAACTCTCATATCAGCCGGAACCTTATCTCCAACTCTCAACTCGACAATGTCCCCTGGAACAAGCTCCTTGGCTGGAACATTTGAAATCTTTCTCCCCTCACGAACAACAGTTGCATGCTCCGATTGGATTTCTTTCAATGCCTCTAACGCTTTCTCTGCGTTGTTCTCTTGCCAAACCCCAACAATTGCATTCACAATTAATATCAAGAATATCACTAAAGGCTCCACGAATGCTGTTATCTCCATCTCCCCACCTTCCTCTCCATCATACCATGCCAATACAAAGGATATCACAGCAGCCACAAGTAAAATTCTGACTAATGTATCATTGAACTGATCCAGAACTAATCTAAAAATCGATGTCCCCTCGTGTTTCTCCAACTCATTAAGCCCATAGATCAGTCTCCTTTTATCAACATCAGCGTTGGACAATCCTTTGTCTCGACTTACTTGATATTTTTCTTCACACTCTCCCACATCTTTTGACCATGGAGCATAATTTTCTCCTTTCGACTCCGTTTTGGCACTCAAATTCTCACTGTTACCATAATTCTGCCCTCCTTTTCCCATCACTTTAATATTTCACCAATGAAACAGTTATCCAGTTAGGTAACTCACACCAAATTTCACCTGAAACTCACAAAATTCAACACAAAAAATATTAAAAAACACAAACCCAGAAGCCAAGATTTACTCATCCACCGAAGATCTAAAACTACCACCGAAGCAGGCAATACAGATACACCAAAAAGGTCAAAAAAAAAAAAAAACGCATACATACGAGTACATACAGATTCAAGGTTTAGAATTTACCAGAATTGTGGAGCGGTAGATAAGAGAAAAACAAATGGGGTTTTTGATATTTCAGTTTTGAAACTGTTTGTTGCTTTTAGATAGAGAGAAATCAGGGATCTTTGTAATGTGACAAACCCAACAATGCGACCACTTGGTAAGCTTCCTCGTGCCTTCTTTGAGTTCTTTCCCAAGCCAAATCCCAATTCCTCTCTTCCTTTATAAGAAAACGGGGTTGCTTGCTTAGACGAAAAGGAGATTACAATAGTCAAAAACGAAATTTCGAGGTTGCTCGCATGAGATTAAAAAAATGGAAAAGTATTGCAACAGTGACGTTTGACGTACAACAGCACATACCTTTTAGCCACCTCCGACTTTCTTGCCCAATATTTTCAAAACCTATAAAGAAACACTAATTGCAGACGAGACGATCTAAACGACTTTTATTTCAAAATCTTTTAATTTTTATAATCATTTTTAACTAATAAAATGGACTAAATGAATAAATAACATTATTTAAAATAAAATATTTTGCATATGAATCTAAAATCTCTCTATTTTTTATTTTCTTATTTTTCAAAAAATAATATCCAATCAAATAGGAGCCTAATCAGGTGAACCGATTAGGTTTCATTCTTTTCACACATTTTTCAAAAAATTACTTTCTTAGAATAATACCCAATCAAATAGGAGCCTAATCAGGTGAACCGATTAGGTTTCATTCTTTTAAACGTATTCTTGTATTATTTTTTTTTACATTGAATTTAAGATTCTCGATTATTTTGATTAAATGGTCAATCTTATCTTATCATGTTATTTTATTTCTTGGAATCAAAGTTTTAAGATTTTCACAATTTTTATAAAATTGACAAAAACAATTTTTGAAATTTGCTCAATGTATTTTTGGCGAAGCTTATAATTATTTATAAGCAGTACATTCTAAGGAATACATGGTAAAAAATAGTTATAAATTGTGAATACGAAGAAATGTATGGACAAATACTGACTAACAAATCCTATCATACATTATCGACGCAATTGTATGGACTCGTTTCTTGTTAATCAATTGTTGTCAAGAAAAGAGGTAAGTATTTTTATTTTTATTGTTTCTGAATTTTTCCTAATTCGTTCGATTGCTACGTGGAATGTAGATTTTGATGCATAATGGAATGAATATTTGTTAAATTTACATGTAATTAAGGAAGCTTAAAATAAAGGGGAAAGTTCAAGAAGAATATTTTTTTTCTTTGAAGTATATTAAAATGTTTACTATTCGTGGTTTAGTCCATGTTTAGCTATCGTTTATAATTTATTTATAAACATTTAAATTACTTTTTATCCATCGTGAAATTTACAAAATTAATTACTTGTCCATCTGACTTATGAAATGTCTACTTTACCCTTTTTGCATAAATTTGCGAACTATTAGGTGGTGGTGACACGTAGGTAGGGATGCTATTAGGCAGCCAAGATTTCACCTATTGTGATAGCAAATTTACATAGTTCAAGTCCGTACGTATGTTAGCTTCCACAAGAAGCTAACAACTCACTGTTTTTTTTTTTTTTTGATATGAGAATTGAGAAGCTAACAACTCACTGTTAAAATGGAAGAATAAGGTGAAAGTTTACACTGTTAGTCAATATGGAAGCACAAGTTTATGCATTCAAAGTTCATGCGTGACAATTTGTCTAATTTAAACAAAAGTTAACAATTAATTTTAGTAACACATTTTATGGAATGCACAATTTTTCAACCATCAAGAACGAAGCCATGAGAGAATTTTTTTTTTTTTTTTTAATATTGGACTTATACATTGAAAAACAAAAATGAATCTTCCCTCACACGGTAAAATATTTTACACGTAAATTCAAAACTTTTCTCTAATTTTTAACCACACATTCTTCAAAAAAATCACTATTTAAAACAATATTTTTACAAAAAAAAAGGCCACCATATAAGGGCTAAAAAAGTAATGTTATTTATAACCAACAACTGTAATAGTCATCTATGTGATATCTTGTTATTTAAGGAATTAATTTGTTATTTGAGGCAATAGAATTACAGAAAATTAATGACTTAAATAACAAGATATCACATAGAATAATTATTGTGGATTATGAATAACAATACTCTTTAAAATAACAAATAAATTTTAATAATAATATGTCACGTAAAATGACTACTGTAATAGTTGGTTATTAAATGCACTTGACTTTTTGCATCCCTTCCTACTTAGGTTCCACTATTCAACTTTGACCTACATAAGAAAGCTCTATAAAGGATTCTTCAATGTTCTCCGTTGAAAGTGTTCGTTGTTTGCCATATAGCCCACGTTTGACTTTCATTCAAATAAAACTCTTTAATTTTTTAGTAATGTTATTCATCTTCACTGAAAATGGAAATACAGTTTACGTGGCTTTAATGTGTCATTAAATGATAGGTGAAATTAACATATCATTTAATTTTACTTTTCAATTAACATATCATTTAAAGTCACCTAAATTGTGTTTTCATTCCCATTGGGGATGAATAACATTACTCTTACTTTTTATGTTCATTTCTTAATCACACATTCACATAATAAAATATTTTTCACGTAAATTTAAAATTTATTCCTACTTGTTAATGCATTCCCTAAAAAAATTGTTATCCAAAACATCATTTCCCTCCAATTTTTCTTTATATTGGCTATCAAACATGGGTTCAGGGGCGGACCCACATGGGGTCATGTGGGGTCAAATGACCCCACAATTTTTTTTTTCCCATTATTATGTATGTAAGATTTAAACCACCTAGCTAGTAGAATGATGCCAAAAATAGTGTCAGTATCACACATTTTTCAAAAAATAATAGCCAATCAAATAGGAGCCTAATCAGGTGAACCGATTAGGTTTCATTCTTTTAAACGTATTCTTGTATTATTTTTTTACGTTGAATTTAAGATTCTCGATTACTTTGATTAAATGGTCAATCTTATCTTATCATTTTATTTTATTTCTTGGAATCAAAGTTTTAAGATTTTCACAATTTTTATAAAATTGACAAAAACAATTTTTGAAATTTGCTCAATGTATTTTTGGCGAAGCTCATAATTATTTATAAGCAGTACATTCTAAGGAATATATGGTAAAAAATAGTTATAAATTGTGAATACGAAGAAATGTATGGACAAATACTGACTCACAAAATCCTATCATACATTATCGATGCAATTGTATGGACTCGTTTCTTGTTAATCAATTGTTGTCAAGAAAAGAGGTAAGTATTTTTATTTTTATTGTTTTTGAATTTTTCCTAATTCGTTCGATTGCTACGTGGAATGTAGATTTTGATGCATAATGGAGTGAATATTTGTTAAATTTACATGTAATTAAGGAAGCTTAAAATAAAGGGGAAAGTTCGAGAAGAATTTTTTTTCTTTCTTTGAAGTATATTAAAATGTTTGCTATTAGTGGTTTAGTCCATGTTTAGCTATCGTTTATAATTTATTTATAAATATTTAAATTACTTTTTATCCATCGTGAAATTTACAAAATTAATTATTCATTTAAAGCTGATTTATGAAAAGTCTACTTTACCTTTTTGCATAAAATTTGCAAACTATTAGGTGGTTGTGATTTAAAGCAAATTTACATAGTTGGAATAATTTAGCTTCCACAAGAAGCTACCAACTCACTAGAGAAACATCGTATTTAAATCGTAAAGAATATCATCTATTTTGTGCCACAAAATTCACTTGTCACCAAATTGTATCTTCTTCCGTTTGAAATTTCGTAGATCTTCGGTGAGTTCCAATGTAACATTTTCACTGTTAAAATGGAAAAATAAGGTGAAAGTTTACACTGTTAGTCAATATGGAAGCACAAGCTTATGCATTCAATTAGAAACCTATTCAAAGTTCATGCGTGACAATTTTATAAGAAAATGATATGGACAAGTACGAAAGTTATTTAACCCTTGTTTGGTCTGAATTAAAATTTAAACCAAAGTTAACAATTAATTTTAATCGCACATTATATGGAATCCAAAAAATTTCAACCATTTGGGACGAAGCCAGGAGAGAATTTTTTTTTTTTTGTATTGGACTTGTGCATTGAAAAAAAAATTACTAGAAAAAAAAAAGAATATTCAAAAGAATCTTCCCTCACACGGTAAAATATTCTATACGTAAACCCAAAACTTTTCCCTAATTTTTAACCACACATTCTCCAAAAAAATTATTATTTAAAATAATGTTTTTACAAAAAAAAAAAAAAAAAAAAAAAAAAAAAAAAAAAAAAAAAAATTAAATTGAAATTTTTTTTCCATCCCTTCTAACAATTTTTCTTTTATAAATCAATAATGTTATTCATAATCAACAACTGCGATAGTCATCTATGTGATATTTTGTTATTTAAAGCAATAATTTGTTATTTGAGGTAACAGAATTACAGAAAATTAATGACTCAAATAACAAGCTGTCATATAGGATAATGTTATTCATTATAAGGGCTAAAGAAGGACCACCAAATAAAGGCTAAAAAAGTAATGGTATTCATAATCAACAACTGTAATAGTCATCTATGTGATATCTTTTTATTTAAAGCATTAATTTGTTATTTGAGGTAACAGAATTATAGAAAATTAATGACTTAAATAACAAGCTGTCACATAAAATAATTATTACAGATTATCAATAGCATTACTCTTAAAAATAATGAATAAATTTTAATAATTACATGCAACGTAAAATAGTTGGTTATGAAATACACGTGACTTTTTGCATCCCTTCCTACTT